GGGGGGGGCAGGGGCTCCGCGGGGCGGCTCGCGGGGCGCTTCGTCCGCCGCCGCTCCCGCTGCTGCTGCTGCTGCTGGCGCTGCTGCTGCTGCTGCTGCTGCTGCTGCTGGCGCTGCTGCTGCTGCTGCGCGGCAGCAGCCGCGCATGAGTTCCTCAGCGAAGAGGCGCGGGTTCAAGTCGAAGGCGTCCCACTCGCCCACGCCGTCAGCCACCCCCACAGCCACCATTTGGCCCTTCCCTTTTGCTGCTATGAAGAAGGCGTCGGCCCCGCCAGTTTGCTGCTTCTCCGGGTGCGGCAGCAGAAACACCCCGCACTGCAGCGACACCTGCTGCTGCTGCTGCTGCTGCTGCTGCTGCTGCTGCTGCTGCTGCTGCTGCTGCTGCTGGTGCTGGTGCTGGTGCTGGTGTGCGGCGTGGGAGGGGAGGCGCTCCTGCGGCGGCGCCGCCCCGTCTCCCCCCGCTGCTGCTGCTGCTGCTGCTGCTGCTGCTGCTGCTGCTGAGCCCAGGCCCAGCAGCACGGCGGGGGCGTGCAAACGCGACAGCACGGAGCTGGGGTAGCTGGAGACTGAGAGCGAAATGGCTTCCAGCCGCTTCAAGTCCCGCAGCAAAGCAGCTCCTGCTGCAGCAGCAGCAGCAGGCAGCAGCGAGGAGTGCGAGCGCAGCAGCGGCCCCTCCTGCTGCAGCAGCAGGCAGCAAAACAAAGAACCAAAACAAACTTCTCTGCACAGCTGCCCACGCCGCCCCAACACCCTAAACCCTAAACCCTAAACCCTAAACCCTAAACCCTAGGGCTAGGGAGGAAGGCGAGAGCAGCAAAAGCTGCTTTTGTCGCTCACTAGGCTCTGAAGTTGCTTGAAGTCCTTTGAGACATATAAGGGCCACCAAATGCTGCTTCTGCGGCAGGTGTCTGTACACCTCAGCTCCAGGCTTTCTGCGGAACCCAAGTCGGGGGAAGAAGAAGCAGCCAGGCTGCTGCTGCTGCTGCTGTTGATGCCTGCTGCTGCTGCTGCTGCTGTCGCTGCTGTGCTTGTCGCGGCGCGCGAAGCAGCAGCCACCAAGCTGCTCGTAAACGCACTCCCTTCTGCTGCTGCTGCTGCTGCTGCTGCCGCTGCTGCTGCTGACCCGCTCTGCGGCACCAGCACATTGTTCCAGTTCCCCGTTGCGTCCTGCGCAAACACAGCAGCAGCAGCAGCAGCAGCAGCAGCAGCAGCAGCAGCAGCATTAAAAGCAAGCATCTGCAGCAGCACCAGCCACAAGCTGCAGCAGCTGCAGCAAAGGGGAAGAAAGCTTTGCGCACGTCAACCATGGCAGCTGTTACGCAGCAGCAGCAGCAGCAGCAGCAGCAGCAGCAGGGCCCCTCTCGCGAGCGCGCGCAAACCCCAAACCCCAAACCCTAAACCCTAAACCCTAAACCCTAAACCCTAGGCACCTGGCGGACGGGGAGCGTGCGTTCGAGGCTCCACTGGCCGTCGACGAGGAACTTGATGAGCAGCTGCTGCTGCTGCAGCTGCTGCAGCTGCTGCTGGCTGCAGCGCAGCTCGACTGCGTAGCAGCCGCTGGCTGCTTCGTAAGGCAGCTCTATGCGGGCGGCCCAGGGCGGCTGCGAGAAAGTGCCGGCCACCTGCAGAGCCCAACTGCAGCAAAAGTTTTATTTTAATTCTTTTTAAAAGCCTTCAGAGGCCTTTGCTGCTGCTGCTGCTGCTCTTCTTTTCTAATAACTCATCTGCCTTTTCGGCCTCTTCAAGAGCTGCGCTGCGACCCCTCTTCCAACGCCCCAACTGTACGTACACCTGGGGTGTACGTACACCCCAGGTGTATGTACACCTCAGGTGTATGTACACTTCAGGTGTATGTACACCCCAGGTGTACATACACTTAGGTGTATGTACAGTTCAGGTGTATGTAGGTGTATGTACAGTTCAGGTGTATGTACACTTCAGGTGTATGTACACTTGAGGTGTATGTACACTTGAGGTGTATGTACACTTGAGGCGCACAGAGTTGAGGTGTCGGTACAGCTGAGGTGTACATACACCTGGTGTGTAGGCGGAGTTGCAGTGTACGTGCACTTGAGGTGTACGTACACCCCAGAGGTCCTCACCTGGACACGCCGGCGCGCAGAGCCGGTCCAAACCAGCTTCAGCCGGCCCACGCTTTCTGCTGCTGGAGTTGCTTCTGCTGCTGCTGCTGCTGGCCTTGCTGCTGCTGCTGCTGTCTTTGCTGCTGCTGCTGCTGCTGCTGCTGCTGCGTTGGTGAGGGCCTGTTTGTGGGCAGCTGGGGGAAACTCTTTCAAATCTTTTCTTCTTTTTTCTCTGTTCTCCTGCCGCTGCAAAAAGGCAACGAGACAGAGCGCGTGGGCGTAGAGGGCCCACCTGCGGTCATCTTTGCTGCTTGCTGCTGCTGCTGCTGCTGCTGCTGCTGCTGCGGGCTCTTCTGCTGCTGCTGCTGCTGCTGCTGCTGCTTCGGGCGCCGCTGCTTCTGACCAGCAGGCCGCGGGCAGCGCCGCCTCTTTGCAGAGCTTTTGAGGGAAGGGAGAGGCGGAGAGCAGCTGCCTGCTGCTGCTGCTGCTGCTGCTGCTGCTGCTGCAGCAAGACAGCAGCTCGGCAAAGGCCAGGCGCATGCGCTTCGTGTCCAGCTGCAGCTCCGAAGGGGCCCCCCAGGGGGCCCCCGCCTGGGGCCCCATGGCTGTGGGGCTCGCGGGCGTGGGGTGTACGTACACCGCGCGGCTCCGTGGAGCGCGGACAGCGGGGGCGGTGTACGTACACCCCAGCGGCCTGCAGCAGCAGCAAAAGCCCCGAAAGAGCGCTCAGAGCCGCGAGCGCATGCAGGGAGTGTCTGGGCGTCCGGGGCGGCGGGGTGTACGTACACCGGAGGCGCGGCAGACGCTGCTGCAGCCCCTGCTGCTGCTGCTGCAGCCCCCGCTGCTGCTGCTGCTGCTGCTGCTGTCTTGCGGCCCCCCGCGCGGCCGCGGCGCGGCGAGCAGCAGCAGCGAGGCCGCGGACTTGGGAAAAAGAAGGAAAGGCGAAGAGGCGCGGAAGGGGAGAGAGCGGCGCTGCAGAGGGCTGGCCGCGCGGCCGAGAGCGGCGGTGGCTGCGGCCGCAGGGCGGGCGGCTGCTGCTGCCGCAGAAAGCGCGGAAAACAAAGAAAAAAGAATTAAAAGAAGAATAAAAAGCAAAAAGAGGAAATCGGGCCGCGGAAAAGACCCCCGAGAGCAGCAGCAGACTTCGAACACGAGTTGCCTGCGGCGCTGCTCAGCAGCAGCAGCCCGCGAAGGCGCAGCGCCCAGGGGCACCTGGAAAGCGCCTCTAAAGCGCAATTGGGTTTGGAAATCTCCGCAAAAACCCCAAAAACAAACCAGAAACTGAAAGAGCTGCTGCTGCAGCGGCGCGAAGTGCTGCAGCAGCGGCGGCGAAGGTCACCATTGGGTCGTTGCGGCCACGGGGTGTCTGCACGCTGCGCAAAGTCTCAAGACGAGGCCGCCTTCTTTTGCCCCAACCGCCCGCATTTAAACTCTTCTTTTCGACGGAAAACTAATATTTCATTTGCTTTTCAGTCCTGGGCGCAAAAACAAAGAAAAAACGCACTCGGAGCGGCGGACGCCGCCGCCGCGTCCTCGCCGCGGAGCAGCTGCCTATACACCTCAAGCTCGCGGGGTGTACGCGCACCTCCAGCTCGCAAACGCGCCCGCAGACAGTTTTTAATTTAATTTATTTGCAAATAAAAGGCATTTTCAAGTGCAGCCGAGGTGCCTTTGGCCCTCGGGCGCCGCCGGCGCCAGGCGCTCGGGGGCTGCCTTGCAGTGTGCAGATCCACGCCGGCTCTCGCAGCCGTTTTTTCCGCTTTCTGTCCGCTAAAGTGCAAAACGAAGCTTTTTTTTCAGCGCAGTTCTTCATTTGCTTCTCCCAAAGTGCCCTAACTGCCTTTGAAGAGCAGCTGCACGGAGAGCGAACTCCTGCGAAAGACACTGCAAGTCCGCAGCTGCTTCTCTTCTTGCTTTTTGCTGCCTCGCCTTTCTGCTGCTGCTCCCAATTAGACATTGATTTGCAGCGAGTTCTGCCCCCTTGAAGCCCGCCTAAACCCCAAACCCTAAACCCTAAACCCTAAACCCGAGCACAGTCTAGCGAGCCCCTAAGCCCTCGCCTGTGCCTTTCCGTGCTGCTGCGTGCCTCCTGCTGCTGCTCCGCAACACAAAACCCCAAGGCCTGCCTTTCCTTCCGCAGCTAGCTGTGGCTAGCTAGCTGAGCTAGCCACCTCCGGCTAGCCGGCGATCGCTGGCTGCCAGTGGCTAGCTAGCCGTCGCCAGCTAGCTGCAACCAGCCGGCAGCGGCCAGCTAGCTGCGGCCAGCTAGCTCTGGCTAGCTGGAAGGGGCTTGCTGCAGCAGCAAGTGGCTAGGCAGGACCACGCGCAGCTAGCTCTCAACAGCAATGCTGCCGCGTGGCTAGCTGTAGCTAGCTGTAGCTAGCTGTAGCTAGCTGTAGCTAGCTGTAGCTAGCTGTAGCTAGCTGTAGCTAGTTGTAGCTAGCTGTAGCTAGCTGTAGCTAGCTGTAGCTAGCTGTAGCTAGCTAGGGCCGCCTAGGAAAAGAAGTGGCTAGCTGCAGCAAGATCTGCGTAGCCAAATATAAGAGCCACAGTGTGCGTGGCTAGCTGTGCTAAACTGTGGCTGCCTCTCTGGCTAGCTGGGCCTGGCTGCGGCTAGCTATGCCTAGTTGTGGCTAGCTGTGCCTAGCTGTGGCTAGCTGTGGCTAGCTAGCTGAGATGGTTAGCTGCGCCTCTTTGTGGCTAGCTGTGACTAGCTGCACATGGCACTAACAAGCTGCTCCTAAAACGAACCGGCCAAGCGCAGCTGCAGCAGCAGCAGCAGCAGCAGCAGCAGCAGCAGCAGCAGCAGCAGCAGCAGAACTTAAATGTACGGTGCAGGGGGCAGGCCCGAAGACCCAAAAGAAGAGACAGGAAGGCCCCCTGGCAGCAAAGGGGGGTAAGGCTGTGGCTGCTGCACCCGGTTCACCTGTGGGTGCTGCAGCAGCTGCTGCTGTTGCTGCTGCTGCAAGTGCTGCTGCTGCTGCTGCTGCTGCTGCTGCTGCATCAGGGGTCGCTGTACATACGGCAACGCAGCCGCAGCTGCTGGGTAGCCAGGAGGGCATTGCTGCAACTGCTGCGGCTGCTGCTGCTGCTGCTGCAGCTGCTGCTGCAACAGCGGCTGCTGAGGCTGCTGCGACTGCAGCTGCTGCTGAGGCAGCAAGTGCTGCTGCAGCTGCGGCGCTTGCTGCTGCTGCTGCAGCGCGTGCTGCTGCTGCTGCTGCTGCAGCGGCAGCAGCGACTCGCTCGCTGTAAGGAAAAAATACAAAAGAGCAGCAAATGCTGCAGCAACTAGAGGGTGCCCAGACAGCACCTGCACCTTTACTTGCCTGCAGCAGCAGCAACAGCAGCAGCAGCAGCAGCAGCAACAGCAGCAGCAGCAAGCGTAGTTGCACATGCAAATATACGGGACCTAATATCCCCACGTTCTAAACCCTAAACCCCAAACCCTAAACCCCAAGCACTGCAAGTTGAAGGCCCCTCGCTCCCAAAACGCTTTATTTACAACTGGTGCGGAATATCTGCTGCTGAAGATCTAGGGTTTAGGGTTTAGGGTTTAGGGTTTAGGGTTTAGGGTTTAAGCTGCACCTGCGTTGAAGGAAGTGCAAGCGACACGCGAGGGGCACTGCGAGGGTTTTCTGAGGGTTTTGGGGATGAGGGTTTGCTGTTTGCAGAAACCCTAAACCCCCGACTCCGCCCGTGAGCTGCAGCAGCAGCAGCAGCAGCAGCAGCAGCAGCAGCAGCAGCGCCGAGTGCAGCAGCAGCGGGAACTCCAGCCAGCAGCAAGCCACAGCAGCAACGGCAGCAGCATCTACAGCAGCAGCAGTACTTGTTGCGCCAAGCAGCAGCAGCAGCAGCAGCAACAGCAGCGGCAGAAGGCAGAGAACGAGCAGCAGCAGCAGCAGCAGCAGCAGCAGCGGCTACCACGGCTGCATCTGTTGCTGCTGCTGCTGCTGCTGCTGCTGCTGCTGAAGCAACTAAGGCCTACCTTGCCGACCCGTAAAGAGAAGGCTCGCCGCAACAGCAGCACAACAGCATCAGGAGAAGGAAGGCAGCAAACGGCCGTAAACTCTTGCTGCTGCTGCTGCTGCTGCTGCTGCTGCTGCTGCTCCCACAACGCCTCTGTGGGAGCAGCAGCAGCAGCAGAAAAAAAGTGGGCCAGCGTCACCGGCAGGTAGATTAGATGCCTAGACACCTGCAGCAAAAGCACCAGCAGCAGCAGCAGCGGGAACAGCAGCAGTAGCAGCAGCAAGTGCAGCAGCAGCGCCAGCGGCGTCAGCAGCAACACCAGAAGTGGCAGCAGCAGCAACAGCAGCAACAGAAGCAGCGTGCCGAAGCACACTTGCAATCAGTTAAAAGCAATCCAGCAGCAGGAAAAGCAGAAGCAGCAGCAGCAGCAGTGGCAGCAACAAGAGCAGCAGCAGCAACAAAACCAAGTGCAGCAGCAGCAGCAGCAGCAGCAGCAGCAGCAGCAGCAGCAAGCGCTGACCTGCGTGCCTTCTGCTGCTGCTTCGGGCCCAACAGCCACCTCAAGCTGCGGCTGTGAGAGGAAAGGAATCAGCAACTGCAGCAGCAGCTGCTGCTGCTGAGACCCGCCAGGCTGCAGCAGCAGCTGCTGCTGCTGCATCTGACACGGCAGGTTCCCATTCGCCGGAGGGCGGTACACACTGCAGCAGCAGCAGCAGCAACAGCAGCAGCAGCAGCAGCAGCAGCAGCAGCAGCAGCAGCAACCACCCAATACGCACTGATCCCAATCTGACCTCTGATAGCACCTGCTGCAGCAGCAGCTGCAGCATCAGCTGCTGCAGCAGTTGCTGCTGCTGCAGTACTGCTGCAGTAGCTCCTGCTGCTGCTGCAGCAAAGTCTATTATTATCTGGACTGCTGCCATTTTAATTGCACAAGGGCCCCTTAAAAGGGCCTTAAGCGTAAGATAGGAGAATTTCCGAGGGTTTAGGGTTTAGGGTTTAGGGTTTAGGGTTTAGGGTTTAGGTACCTTCGAACTCGCAGGGTTTCCTTGCTGCAGTTGGTGTACTGCAGCACCAGCCTGCAGCTGCCGCCTTGCTGCTGCCTCTTTGCTGCCAGCCGCAGCAGCGGAGTCTGCAGCAGCAGCGAGTCCTTCAAGATGCATGCCCTCTTCCGTGTTGCTGCTGCTGCTGCTGCTGCTGCTGCTGCTGTTGCTGCTGCTGCTGCGGAGTGCGACGGAGATGCAGGTCCTGCTGCTGTTGCTGCAGCAAAGAAGGAGGCTAGGCGCGACTCTTCTGCTGCTGTGTCGCTGCTGCTGCTTCTGCTGCTGCTCCTGCTGCTGCTGCTGTCTCTGCTGCTGTTGCGGCTGGAGTCGTTGCTGCTGGTTCTGCTGCTGCTGCCGCTGTTGCCGCTTCTGCTGCTGCTGCTGCTGCCGGTGCTGTGGCTCCTGCTGCTGCTGTTGTTGCTGCTGCCGTCGGAGGGAGACGGAGACTTGCTGCTGCTGTGTCTCTCACTGGGGCCTGCTGCTGCTGCTGCTGCTGCTGCTTTTCTCGACTCATCCAGCGCAGCAGCAACTGCAGCCACTGCTTCCACTGTAACCCTTGGAGCAGCAGCAGCAGCAGCAGCAGCAGCAGCACGCGAGCGGCCTTGCTGCTGCTGCTGCTGCTTCGGTGCTGCCGTTGCTTCCAAACAAAAAGAAAGAAACTCCAGGTCCCCTTGCTCCAGCAGTCTGCATTCACCCACAAACCCTAAACCCTAAACCCTAAACCCTAAATCCTAAACCCTAAACCCTAAACCCTAAACCCCAAACCCTGGCCTTCAGCCCGCAGAGCTGCACCGGCCAGCAGCAAACAGCTTGACAAACAAAACTTCGAAAACCCGCACGCCGCCGTGCTTTAGGGTTTAGGGTTTAGGGTTTAGGGTTTAGGGTTTAGGGTTTACGCTTTGAACTCCCTCGCTCTTGTCTGCACTTCTATGTCGGGGTGCCGCGCGAGCAGCGCAGCAGCAGCAGCAGCAGCTCGCGTTTCCTGAGGGTTTGCTGCTGCTACTTTGCAGAGGCTGAGCAGCAGCATGCCGCAGGCCTCGGCCCTCGCTGCTGCTGCTGCTGCTGCTGCCCTGCTGCTGCTGCTGCTGCTGCTGCTCTCCTGCATGCACCACGGCTGCCCACAGGCTTCCACTGGCTGCTGCCTGCTGCTGCTGCTGCACAGCAGCCGCACATGCGACAGCAGCAGCTGCGAGGCCCCGGGGGGCCCCCCGGGGGCCCCCCGCAGCCACACTGCAAAGGTCCCCAGTATGTAGCAGCAAAGCCTGCAGCAGCAGCAGCAGCAGCAGCAGCAGCAGCAGCAGCAGAGGCAGCAGCAGCGGGTGGAGTAGGGGCAGCAGGGCTTTACGCGCTGCTTCAGAGGAGAGGGTGGAGTTCTCGAGTTAAGGCCCGGGGTCAGGGTTTGGAAACTAGGGTTTAGCGTTTAGGGTTTAGGGTTTAGGGTTTAGGGTTTAGCGTAGGCAATTCCCACCTTAAAAGAGAGGCCTCTATGCCAGGATTTCTTAAGGCCTCCATTGCAGCACGAACTGCCGTTTGCTGCAGCCCGCAGACACCCTAAACCCTAAACCCTAAACCCTAAACCCTAAACCCTAAACCCTAAACCCTAAACCG